GCGTGGCTCACTCCTGAGGAGGACAGTCTGCAAGGCGGGTCCAGATGGGGATGGAAGCGCGATCCGGCGTGGCCTCTCGGACAATGTCTTTGGGCCGCCCATGGTGTTTGGAATGACCAGACGGGCGAGATCTTGGACGACGCCTACTTTCGTCGTTACGGTGGGCCCTCCGGAATTCGAGATGCCGACTACATTGAGGACTACTGGCTGCCGCATTTGCGCCGCTACGCCGACATGATTCGCTCCACGCACAAGGAAGCGATTCTATTCGTTCAGCCGCCTGTCTTCGAGCCGCCTCCCAAATCCCTCGACAGCGCCATTCTCAAGCACAGGGCTTGCCTCTCTAGTCACTTTTACGACGGACTTACTCTTATCACCAAACACTGGAATTGGTTCAATGCAGATGCGCTCGGCCTTCTGCGCGGTAAATACTCTGGCGTCCTGTTTGCCATTCGCATCGGCAACAGAGCCATTCGCAAGTGTATCCGGGAACAACTGGCCTGCCTACGGGAGGATTGCCTTGGTATCTTGGGTCAGTATCCCAGCCTCATCGGAGAGATCGGAGTTCCTTACGACATGGACCGTAAGAGAGCTTTTTACGGGGACCCTAAGGGCAAGGGCATCGGCGACTTCTCCGCGCAGATCTCCGCCATGGATGCCTCTTTGAACGCCTGTGATGGACCCAACATGCTGAGCTACACCGTGTGGACGTACTGTGCCCAAAACAGCCACGAGTGGGGAGATGGCTGGAACGGAGAGGACTTCAGCTTGTGGAGCAGCGACGATGCATCCAGCAGCCTAGCCAGCATCACGCTGGCCGCTACAGCCAATGTCGAGCGCGACATAGACGACAACGCTTCGGCCATGAGCTGCTCCATGAAGGCTTCCTCCTCCACCATCGACGTCCATGCACTGCAACCCCCAAAGACGAGCTCGCATTCGCCATCTCTGCTGAGGGGCGCGCGTGCGGCTGCCGCCTTCTGTCGTCCGTACCCAATTGCTTCGGTTGGTAGTCCTGCGAGCCTGGAGTTCGATATCAAATCGTCGCAGTTTGACTATGCTATAGACGTCGGCGCTGCAGATATCGGCGATGCCGATGTGCCAACCGAAATCTTCCTCCCTTTTGTCCACTATGGCACCGACGATGCTCTAGAAGCCGTCAGTGGTGCAAGATCACATCACATCGTCTCCCGACTCAGTACCGCAGATTCGTTACTGAGCGTCGAGATCGAAATATCTGCAGGCAGATGGGAGCTCAATGGCCAGTATCTCAGATGGTACATCACTAAAGCGGAGGCGATCGCCAACCACAAGGACATTGCAACATCAGAACAAACTTTCCGACACTCGATTCGGGTCAAGCGCCGAGGTGGTGCGGTGACAGCGGCAGTTTCGCACAGCGCTTGGAGCTTTCTCTCGGCCTGTGGACTCCTCTAGTAAACAAAAGAGGGCATGTACTAGATCGACCACACAAGCAGCTGTCATGCGTCACACTCACACACAACCCGGCACTCGGATAGAGATAAAAAACATGTCCATTAAACAGCATTTTGAAGATGAAGTCGACTCGCACCGGCTAGCCAGCAGCCGTGGAGATGTAGAGCAAGAGACAAGTGAAACGTGCAAGATGCGAGCAGCACTCCTTTGGGTAACAAGTTGATTGGGCGTCGAGCCCAGCCGGGCAGACAGGGGAACGGAGATTCCTAGTGTTCCGGAGCGAAGCGAAGAAATGCAGACAAGAGGAAAAGGCGCGATGGAGAGTTCTAGCAGCCCTTTACGCCAATTCGAAGAAGCAAAGAAAACCATGGACGGAGCGTGACGAATGCGGAGCAGGAAGTGGGGCCGCATTGGACGGATCAACACTGAAATGCACGGAGCTAGTTGCTACCACAAGAGGAACCGAAGAAGATCTAATTATTCCTAGAGTCACAACCCTTTCAAGCCTGGGCCTGTTCCAGGATCATCTTGGAAAGCCCGCCGTAGAGGTTGGCAAAGTTGTCGAGATTGCCGGTGGGTTCGGCAGCAGCCGCTGCCGATGCGGCGGACTCTGAGGCTTCAGCGGCAGCAGCCGACTTGCTGGCCTTGGCTCGGGCACGAGACTTGCTAGCCTTGGCAGCACGCGAGGAAGAGGCCGCAGCGCGGGATCGGCTGGCAGCCGCCGCAGCCTTGGTGGCCGAGTAGTGCGAGGCGGAACTGCGAGAAGCTGCGAGGGAGGAAGAGGCCTCGGCAGCGGCGGAGGCAGCGGCCTCTTTGGCAGCGGCAGCCTTCTTGGCAGCTGCCTCCTTGGCAGCTTCAGCGGCAGCTTCGGCCTTCTTTTTGGCGGCAGCCGCGGCAGCTTCAGCTTCGCTGTCGTCGTCTTCGTCGTCATCGTCGTTGTTGCTGGAGCTACCGCCTCCAGAGCCTGCTGGCCACCAGGTGATCGCGAATTTGCCGACGCCGGTATCGGCAAAGTGTTCAAAGAGACCTTTGCTCATGTCGAGAGAGCCGTAGAAGCAGTTTCCACCGCCGGTTGGGCATGCATCCTCGACGACTGCGTTTGCGGTGGTCTTGCCGTTACTGATGGTAATGGTCTTGCCACACCAGGAGGACTTTTGACCGAGATCACCGTACATGGGCTGATTGAGTGCGACGACGTACTCATTGGGCGAGAGGTATCGGCCACATGCGCTGTCGTGTAAGAAAAGTAGATAGGAGAGAGGTTACATGGGCAGTGCCGGCATCAGAATCCTGACCTCTCTTCCGATGATTCGATGCAATCCCTATTGTCACAGTACTCACCCTGCATTGCCGGTTCCTACGTCGTACCAGGTAGCGTATCCGGAGTATGTTGCACGCTTGGCGAGAGATTCCTCTGCTCCGCTGCTGCGCGAATGGTGTCGTCGTGGCGAAAGGGACACATCGTGCGAAGAGGCAAGGCTAGCAGAGATCAAGACGGCGGCTAGCACTGTAGAGAAAGACTTCATGGCGGCGATTTGTATGGTCGAAAAAAGTTAGGAATGCACTTTGATCGGGCTGCGAGCTGGAAAAGGTATAGGTCAAGATTCGAAACGATTGTAGTCTGCCGAAAAGGGGGTGGGGGGAGGAGGGATAATGAACGACAATAACGGCGGGGATCGGAGGGAAAACTGTGAAGTTCCACAATGTCAGGAGCCTGGAGGGAGGGGAGAGGAAGGCTGGATGCCAAAGAGTGGAGAGAAGAACGATGGTGATAGTGGTGGTGATGGGGTGGTGGTGGTGGTGGTGGTGTCCGTAGCTGTGATAGCAATGGTGACCAGTTGTTGGCTATGCCGTTATACTGGCAGCAGCAATCCTGCGACGACGATCTTGTCTCGTTGGTCTAACGAAACGCGCTTAGCTTCGTCCCTATCTCCTCCTGGACGAGCCTTCCCTGGAGGTACAGGGGGTCGCACATGCAGGCAGAAATACGCTGGCAAAAGGGGAGAGGGATAGGGAGAGGGAAAAGGGGCAGGCAGGGGGGCAGCGATGCTTGACATGCCAGATTGCAAAGAACAGGCACCATATCCTGGAAAAGAGCGCACTTGGCTCAGACGAGCCTGTGTTTGGCTCGGTTGTCGAATGTCGAGCAAGTACAGTACACTAGTAAGGTAGGGCAAGGAAGGACAAAGACCATACAGGGAAGGTGCTTGGCACTGGTCGGCGTGCGTCGGTTGCCAAGAGTTGACGGGCAGCTCGCACGCCGTGTCGATCCTGCAGCAGCCGACGTGCTTGTCGAGCCGGTCGACGCGTTTGTACCGTTGCGTGCCTGCGCCGTGCGTGCTGTACGGTGGATTCGACTCTAGAATTCTGATTCGACTTTCGAACGCATGGGCTTTCTGCAGCTGCACGTAGCTAAACAAGACTAGTCCTCTTTGTGCGCGCCTGCGCTGCTCCCACCCTCTCGGGGTGTCCGAGACCAACACGCCCGCCAAACACTAAGTTACAGTACTGTGTCTCCGCCCAACCTAACCTTTGCGCGCTCACACCAGTTGCTGGGCAGCCGGACGACGATCCCGCACCGTCAACACTAGGCAAGTGTAGGTCGACGTCCGAGCTGCCTGATTTGAATCTCCGACAGCCGAGATGCAGCTAGAGTGCCATCAGAATACAATACAGTACCATACTCTGCGCTTCCGTGACTGTTGGAGGCCGCAGACCACCTTCCCCAGCTGATGATCGACATGCCTCAAACCGCAATGCGGGTCGGCTTCCTTGCCAGCAACCATGTCGCGCTCCCTTCTGCATGCCTCGGCCTTGTGTTGCGCCTGGCTCGAACCACACACACACAAGCCCGCACGCAATCTATCACTGCAACTCGAGGAGCCTGGTGCTTACTGCATTTGGATACCCAAAGGTATCTTACTGCAATCAGGCCTGTCTGGGCTCTGATTCATATCTCAAGACCAGACGTGTGCCATCGTTTGAACCCTCTCTTTTTTCGAGACGGCTTGTTGTGACCCTCTCCGTCTTGTTGCGCAACAACATTCGCTCAAAGCCGAGGCTTCCCAACTTGCAGCTCCGCCGCGAAACGATGTCAGGCGTCCAAACGTCCCTGAACTAGAGTAGGTACTATTATACGTGTGCATTTTTGGCTGGTACAGTACTTGCGGCGACGTTCGATCGATCGCCTACGTCCATAGCACCATGCACCTTTGCATTAATACTAGGCAAAGGAAGGATCTTGAACCTCTACATTCATTCGGCAATGCGCAGAACTGCACTGTTCCTCGCCCAGCAACTGATCCGAACACTTCCATGCATGTCCAGTCGGTCACCCGAGAGAAGTTTACGAGACTATCTCGAGACAGCTCCGTGTGGACCAGCTGCCGCTCCCCACTGCAGGCCTACGTCAAGATCACTTCGCCGTTGAAGATCTCGCGCGAGCTATGTCACTGCTGTGTTTTTTATTGTGCGTGCACGAAAGACGTAGACAGCAAAGTGTCCTTCCGGATCACAAGTCAATCGAAGGTCCGACAAAAAGGAGATACCAGGGGAAAAAATTGTGACAAGAGTGGGATTCGAACCCACGCCCGAAGATAGCAGAACCTCTCGCTTACACAAGATATCTTCCTTAATGCTACGCCTTAGACCACTCGGCCATCTTGCCTCGATGCATGACAGCTTTCATGATGAACATATATATACCTTTCTTAACTCAAAAATCCACCCGTCTTGAAACCATCACAATGGCTGCTGATGATCGCGACGAAGGTAGGGTGTATAGAGCACTCGCGGTCTCAGCGAAATTGCGCCGTCCTGCGTTGTCTTTGTACTCTCGAGAGTGAGCGAAGAAAGCTAGTCATATTCGAGCCTGAAATCGTACTCGATTTGCAGGCATATATGGGAGTAGATATGGAATTGATGTATAATAGAATGTTTCAAATTCATAAAATTCCGCAATATTCTATATTGATGAAATTTATACGTACCGTGATATCAACCGCAAATTCTTCAAACATCATGAAAATATACTTGTAGTTGTGCCGCTTTCTATATGACAATCAAATGAGACTACCTATCTGATTCTTAATCAACTTCCATGTTCATGAACTATAACACGAAGTCACTTCAGCTCGTTGTACACCGCGTACCGAGGCCGTCGCAAGCGGGTCCATGACATGAGCCAGAGATACGTTCAAAAATGACCAAATACATTAATTCGTTTAGATTTTTTTTATAAATGTACTGATTACATACATTTACAAGATCACCTGGCTGTACTAGGACGTGATTGCACACCGTCGCACGTGTACAATCAGCACTACGAATTTGTGCGGCAAGTGTATATCTGTTTCGCGCTGCCTTTGAGATCGAAAATGGACCCCGACCTCGACGTGCAATCATCAACTAATATATGCAGTCAAGATACATAATTAACGACTGCAGCAACACGGACGTTCTGTGGCTATATATCGCGCGTACAGGCGTATATATTATATTTTTCAATTGATCAGTTATCGGTTACATATACAGTACATGTACGTGTCATGCACAGTACTGACTAATATCACGTACTACGTACTAGTTTTTACTACTGACTAGTTCTTAACAACAAATTTTTGTACGTTAGTAACACTTGTCAGTCACATACACGTACCGCGTACCTGCTTATGTTCTACTGTGGCTGAACAGAAGCAACAATCCCAAACATCCCCCATGCGTGGCTGTACGTGATGTGACCTTGCTCATCTCTGACAGGTATATACCAATAAGACTAGCTGATATTTATATACTGAATATGATACTAATGACGAATATATGTGTACGTGTACAGCGTGCATGCCTTTCCGGTACGTGACGTCTCATTTATAGAAACATCATTTGTATACTTTGTGAGATGTAATATGGTCGATGAAATGTTGTATATGTACTAGCGTACTATCATAGATACACATGCGTACTCACTATTATATATGGGAATTTTTTATGTGTGAATGTAGCTATTAGTACGTATCACGCAGAGTCTCAACTATCTGACCAAACGTCACAATGATTGATGTATTGTTCACACGTTATTCATAGCATTCTTGCAGACTACTATAGAACGATAAAGTATATAGTCGTATATATGCACCGTCTGCAGCCTCTTTGCCGCGTTTGTTTCAAATAGAAGTAGCTGTGGACGTGTTTGCGTCTAGGTTGAAATTCAAAGGCTTTGCACCACGGCATGAGACGACAATGCCGACGCGAATCGGAGAACTTACTAGGTTTAAAAGATGATCAATAGCCATTGTATGTGTGCCTCGACCTGGAAACGGCTTGAAAAAATGTATGGCTGCATATTTCTTATTTTCAATTTACTACTGAGAACGATCTGGAAACGAGTTTTCGTGTCATGCAACTTCATAGCCGTCTGTACTAGCATGTATATGTATAAGCTACTATTCCGGGTAAGTATTACCACCTCGTAGTAGCACACATGTGGTGGACATGCATGGCCTGCCGCAATTAATCAAGATCGTGATCACGGGAGTGTCCTGATCAAACAGTAGTAGTAGTATACTTGTCATTACTACTTGTTGCACTATTTGATGAATCTATACTTGGCTTGCAATAATATGATATATATATAAAATAATATTAATACATGCCTGCAGTCAGTGATATGTTGTCGTCGACAGAACAGACAGTAGCTAGTAGCTAGCGCTTGTTGTCACATGATTTGTGATTGACTACTGTCTGCATCAATATCAATTTCTCTTTCTGGTCTACTCCAAGGTCGATATCGATGTTGTGCTTACGGACGAGAGGTAGTAACGGATGGTATCCGCGCTCTGTTCATATCTGTGAACCTGTATAAATGTGCAGGTGCGTTAGGTAGTTGTTGCGATGACGATATTACCAAAACAAGAAGAATATGTAATATAATTTTTACGTGTGATATAACTATGATATCACTAGTCAATTCGTCCAATATGGTCATTTTTGTCATTATTACGAGATAAAACAAAAATCCTACTCAACTACGTCAGCAATGACGGGTTTTTTAGTACCGCAATATCATCAACTGTTGAAGATATCACCTACTTACGCAACAAATGCTAAACGAGTACATGTATGTACAAAAAATGAAATAGATAAAAATACGATGTTTCATACATATTTGGATTAATTGCACTTTTTATTAGCAGCAGCAGCTGAAGCGTAGCGCGAACCTTCGATTGATGTCAAAACATTCGCCGATCACTGCGGTAGATACGGTCGCACTACCTGTCGACTCCCCAATTGATCTAAGCTAGGCGCTATTGGCCCGCTCGTGGATACGCCTTATGAGTACGCCATGTCTGGTCCATCAGCCGTAGTCGGAAATCTGGAGGCCTGAACGCATGCCTACACTCCAGTACTATATGGGTTGTGGTCAACCACGTAGAGTGCTGCGAGGCGCTCTTCCCGGCTTGTCTCGCACTCGTTCGTCGCCGATAGGCCTCTGAGGTGCTGAGAGTTGCGCAGCTAAGGGACTCTTGCCGATGACGAGTCCATCAAGAGCTCTTTTGGCTATTACAGCGCTATGATGACAACAGTATTGTACCGTCGCGACGCCACGTCCAGTTCCGACGTCGTCCAGAGCGAAGGTGGCACTCTTAACTTGACCGAAAGGCTGCGTGAGAGCACGGATGAATGATTCCGAAGAGACCACGGCAGTATCGAGGCAGTCGAGCTGCAAAGTTGCGCTTTCACGCGGCTCACAGAGCAGCATGGTGGCAATGGCGGCTTGCATCTGCGTCGGGGAGGTCGGAGCACGTCGCCACTTACAAGATGCATCGTGCGCAGATTCCAAGGTGGTGCCGGGATGAGTAGCTCTTTCGCTAGTCTGTTCGCGTATCGAGGACCAGCTATCCGATGTTACGGACGATTTGACCAGATTCATATTGTCTGTCTGGGACTCAGAACGGGGCGGATGTTGCAGGTCATCGGCGTTTGCGGAAGCTACTTGCGGGAACGGTGTTCCGCTTCTCTGAACGATGGCGTACGAAACCTCGATTCGATAGCCATGCCAGGAATATCCGTCCAGGCGCTCAATGGCATGCATGGCCTCTGAAGGTTGCGACATCAGGATGAAGCCGCGACGCCGCGCCACATTGTCAAGCGTGGCAAGGATGACAGCATGCTCAACCCGCCCATACTGGCCAAATAGGGCTTCGAAATGATCTGTGGTTGCGTCCAAAGGCAGGTTCAGCACGTAGAGATTACGTTGACTCTGACTTCTGCCTTGCTTCATCGGGAAAGGAAAGGGCCGAATAAGACCGTGATGCTGGCTTCAGAGTGCGTGTGACAGAAGTAAATTGGGATTTTGATGATGGTTGAAACCCGCGGACAGGTTACTCTGGAAGGGACTCTGGTCCTCTCTGTCGTCAGTGTGGTCGTCCGTGTTGCAGTTGTCCTGGTTGAAAAGGATGGTAGTGAGCATGGAGTACGCGCAGGGACTCCCCTTGTCCCGCACAAGAAGCGAAGCCGCACAAGTGAAGCGTGGAGCGTGTTTACAGCGCGAAACGTCGTCACGCATACACTCCACACATGTACAAGACAGTAAATTGGGCCGTGTATGACAGGACAGCGATGTCAAACATGCACGTGCTGCGACCTCTGATATCACCAGATGGGAGCTCCGAGTGTTCTTGTTCAGCCTCCCCGGGGCCAGCTCTTGCTGAGAGCACGACAGCAAGTAATCCTTGCGTACATAACCCTTTCGGCGCGGCGGCGCTTGTCAGCAAAGACAGCTAGACCAGTGCTCCTTGCTTCCCGCCGTATGTTCCCACGGCAACACAGACATACAGAATTCAGACCGACAGAGTCAAGCTTCGACAAGCGGTCGTATCAATGATAGCTGTAGTTTAAGGTCAACGGATTCCCGCTCTTGTCGCACCGTCGGTAAGGCGAGCGGTGCCAGGCCCGGAGCAGCTCCAAGTTTCCAGATATCAGCATTGCTATCGAGAAAAATTTGTTCCCAAGTCAGTAATGCCACAGAAGGACCAGGTCTGTTCGGGAACGCATACATCTAGCCACTAGGGTGTCATTCAGAGCTCCCTGTGAGGCACCTCTTAAGTGAAATGACGGGAATTCCAGATATGTGTGTTAGCGTTGGGATTGACGCTTCTCTGCAGCTCTTCTGGCCTCGTTGCTGTTGGTCTCGTGCCTGTCGAGGGCCAAGCAGCGTGAAACCCGTCGCTGATGGCGAGTGGTCAATACGCGGTTCGCATATATCGAGATGCTACTTGACACATATATATTAATGAATATTATTATATCACATACATCGAATATATGCATTCAAATATGGATGGCACTTTCCTCGCGTTTTGAGGTACAGATCGCGTTTTGCGCATGGTCGCACGGCCCGTGATATTCCACGGTTCGATTTCAATCACAGTAGGGACGGAACCGTACAGTACGCGACTTCCGCGCTTAGATGTGCAACTCCGGCTGCCGCCATCGTTACTCACACTTCTTTCTAAATATATCTCTTCTCTGCTAGTTTGTCGACATATATTCCTTTCGTCTTGTTCTGTACAGCCTTCACCTCTTCTTGGTCTGACGTCACAAGGGCCACTAGTCACCGTTTGTTCGCTTGAACGTCTTGTCATTCGACAAGTCGTGCCGTGCCGCCAC